CCTTAAAAAAAAAGCAGCGGCAGGCCGTGACGGTTTGGAGAGACAGCATTAAAAAACAAAGGAAAAAGTCCAAAACAAACCTTGAATTTGTGAGCGAAAGCTAAACCAAACCCCGAACTCTCAATCCCTGAAATTAGCACACCAAACTCTCTAATCCCGGTCTATTTTAAACCTTCACAGGACTTCACCGGGATTTGCTGAATTAGGCCGCCCAGTAGCGCAGTCGCTCATGCGCGCGTAATAATTAGTTCTTTCTTAGATTTTTTTCTTTTACGCTTTCTTTTCTCTTTTCATTTTTACACATGTCTAATTTTTCTCAGTACCCAATGTACATTTTTAAGGCACACATTAAATATTTGATAAACTTTTGATATTTTCAAATACTTTATAGATATTTTTTAATTAACTGTTTTCGAAACTTTTTTGAATACATGGTAATGTTTTTCCAAATACATGTTTTACATTTTCTTAATGAAAATAAACATTTTATAAAACTACACGATCACTCTTTTACATAGTTCAACATTTTTAAATTTGCATACACTTTTTTCAAACACATGTCACGTATATTCTGTTAAGGTTATGATACATTTTTTTACAACACACAAACACGTTTTTACATTGTACAAAAAGTGTTCGCACTTTAAAATTTTGTTCAGGTTTCAGAAAAAAAATTATGTTTCAAAAACTGTTTCCACTTTAAAATTTTGTTCAGGTTTAAAAAATGTTTATGTTTCAAAAGGTGTTCTCTTCCTGAAAGTGTTTTGGCTTTTAAAAGTATTAAAAAAATTCAAAAACGCACTTTACAAAATGTTCGAAGATTTCAGAAATAAATATGTTTTCAATACTTATTTGCCCCTAAAAAAGTTTTTTAAGTTCGATGCATTGGTTTCTAATTAAATATTTTCGGCCTCTTATTATGTAAGTCATAGTCGCCTGGTGTAGTGGCTAGCGAAATCAGGTCAACCCTGCCAGGTCCCAAGTTTGACTCCGCGGCATGTTTTTCTCTTTCGGAATTATTACTTCGTGCATTAAGAAAAAGAAAGAAAGAATTTTACGGCGTGTCATAAGGAAAAACACTCGCTTTATGTCTGGTTGGCCGGCCTAGTCAAGTCCACAGCTAACAATCCGAAACATTTTTTTAGAAACATTATTTACGAAATTCCAAAAACATTATTCAAAAAATGTGACACAATTCTGAAAATCCGAAACATTTTTCATAGCATGTGAAAAATGTTGTAATTCTGAACATTTTTTGAAAAATGTGATTTTTTTTGAAATTGCGAACAGTTTTTTTTAATGCGAATAGAATTTCAGAATTCCAAATATGTTTTTAAAAACACAAAATGAATTGAATTCGTGCAAAAAATGTAAAACAGGAACATATGTTAACTTCTGAACAATTTTAGAAATGTGCGAACATTGTTTAAACTTCATGAATTCTTTTTGTGTTATAGTGGGTCGGCCCAAATTCTTGTCCGTGAGAGTAGCTGGTTATCCCGGCCAGGATTGTTGTATTCCCGGTGTGCCAAACGGATCTAGGGTCCAAAATAGACCGGGATTACAAGTTTAGAGTGCCAATTTTCGGGATTTAAAGTTTAGGGTTTGATTTAGCTTTCGTCTACAACTTCAAGGTCTTGGGATCAGAGAATAAGTTACATATATGAGCTTCTCCTAGCCGGCCATGATGGTTCAGAGAATAAGTTACATATATGTTGATACCCATATTGATTAAATTAACAAATTATATTCATATTTTTGTGAGTAAACATGAATTATTTTTTGGAGACACGTATTATATATATAATTGTTGTGTACGAGTGCAAAGTTTTATGTCCGCAATCTGTCACACCATGATTTTTTGACCAACTGGTATTGAACTATGCAAGTATGTGAGAGGTGCACGGATCGTTCAATAACACACGATTTCTTTTACTAAAAATTTGGAGTTTAGGTGTGTTACCAAACGAAAAACGTCCAAGTGATCCTTTAGTCAGGCTGGAATCATAGTTGTCACGCGCTATTCTCTTCACCCAAGAGATCCTTCTGCTGCAGGGGTCTTCTCTCAAGATTCAGGTATGATGACACAGGGCTCCGGAGATCTTCTTGTATTATGGTTGTCTTAGGGTACTCTAGGTGTTCATGGTCCTTTGTGTTTGCGTTTCAGTGTGCTTGTAAGAGTCAACTACTTTGTACTGATTCGTAATTTGAATGAAGAATTTCTCTCTTAAAAAAAAGTCCTGATTGCATTTTTTATTAAAACTTAAAATCTATGGCCTCTAGAAAAAAAACAAAGATTTTCATAACGTCATTTTATTACACATTTGCATCTTGTTGAGCCATGACGGATTCTATGACGGACGAGAGAAACCCGTCATCGGCTGTGACGGATTTTCATAACGTCACCAGCAATCCGTCATGGATTAACAGGTTTCTTGTAGTGAAATTTGGCTTTCTCACGATGAAACCCCAGCGTACTTGAGGAACGGAAAATACTGAATCGATTTGATGGCTACAGGCTCGTGTCGAGCCTGTTGTAATACTTCTTTATTCCTTTGATCTTTTTGTTGTAAGACTACAAGGAGGTACCCACGTATATATACTAAGCTAGCTACCCTATAGCTAAACCTAGTCGGTTTCATGTTGGAGCACTAATCGGACCAGCATACGAGTACTACTCGGACACCAGCACACACGGCGTGTTTAGCTCTAACAGATGTGGCTCTGACCCTCGTGCCGACACCATGAACAAGGTGCCCTCTCATTTTCTCCTTCCCAGTGGCCGCTAGGGTTTCCCTGGTCGATCTCCCTCCTCCTACTGACCTACTCCTAGTCCTCGATGCGGCCACCACACAGCTGACGGCTGCTGGAAAGCTGCGAGGAAGTCGTCGGCCAGACGAGGGCAAGGGCGCCGATGAGGTTCGCCAGCGGGACGAGGGCAAGGACGCCGATCTCCCTCCTCATGTTCCCAATCTTCGGCGCGGCAACCATCGACCAGATCTTCACCACCTTAGGTACACTGTCTCTTCCCCATGGGCCCGCTCATGCATGGTGAAGACCCCCCGACTCCGAGGAGGTGCCGTGGTCAAGAGGAGAAGCACAGGTCACCAAGACACCAACGTTGCCGAGCTTCTA